TTCTCGGTATATTGTTTTCTGTCCATTACAGCTGTCGCTCCTTTTTTGCCTGAAGGACCGTTTGTTCATTAATTTCTAGGCTTCTGTGTATCCTCGTAAATCTGTTCTTGTGTGTTTGTTCATGATGTGCCAAGATTATTGGGATTATTTCCATCTTCATTTCTCGTTTTGTTTCTTCAGGGAACTTGACTAGAAGATTTCTGTCATTTTGAATAGAAAAGTTTAATGCTTTTTTTAAGAGGGGGATAAATTTACCATCTTATTCCGTCCGTCGTACTGTTCAAGGCGAAAACACCTTATCACTTCGATTAACGAAATGAGATGGTGAATCTATCCTCGCTTCCTCTTGATCCTGAAACCACTAAGCTCCTGTAAAAAGGACTAAACTTTTCTTCTAAAAATGATTGAATTATTCTAGAAAACGTTCTGTTGGAGGTCATAAATTTCTCCGACAAGTCTCTTGAGCAGACAAAACTGGAAATGGAGATGGAACATGGGTTTGTAAGGACGCAGATTTGGCGATAACTTTGTCTATTGCCTAATCAAACTCGGATAAAATAAGGATATAACAAGACAATCAAAAAGGAGATGCCTGGATCGAGAGTCTATCGTAAACTAGGGGAAAAGGACCGTAAAGAAGATAGTAAGGAGGTTTTGGAAACAAAGTGAAGACCTCAGTGAGTGTAGTCTTCTTGAAGAGACAACTACAACTTTGTGGACCCGATGGATGGACCGAGATGGATATTCAAGACCATTACAGAAATTCGACCTTAAAGCCAACTTGAATAGAAATCCACTCGTGAGGTAGAAAGTGATTAGATATAGAAGTGCACAGATTGTTCAAAGTGCATGGGTTTGATCAAGGAGATGACACATAAAGGCAATGAGTAATATCCGCAAGCATGGGAATCAGAGCCTATGCGATCTCCAGGTAGGGCGATATTATATGTGCTACTGGAGGCCTGAGAAATAGCGCCTAGAGTAAATGTGCACTGGGGCTCGGACGGAGTGAAATCGTTCAACCAGAAAGATAAGAAACGTATCTATGGATCGATGAAGCAGATCCGGACAGCAGCCCCGAGTTGGATCCGACACTCAAAAGGGAGGGGGGCAGAGCAAGCAGGTGTGATGACGCCACGGTAAATTTGCCGGAGGGTCACACCTTTTGAAGAGTAAAATATAAACACTTCTGAAGTTGGCAGGTAGAGGAGTGATATTATAACCGTTTGGGCAAAAAGTTGGACCAGAGATTGACCTCACTTGTCTCTTTGACTAGTTGTAAACTTGTGCTGAGAATGGAAAAACTCATTGACTATGCCGGCTATAAGGCCGGTGAAACGTCTGCGAATACATCAAGTCCGCGATAGAACTCTTCAAAATATGATGACTATTATGGCAGAGGACTTCGGACAAGTTGTATTTGATTAATTCGCCCTGACGATACGACCAAGTTGAGAAAACGAGGCTAGACCACACACATTTATGATATTTAATGAATTCATGGATCGCTGAATTGTACACTGCATATTGCAAAGTTTAAAACTATTTGAAGCCGATCGAATCGTCTATTGATGGACATTTAGTAATTTTATCTTTTTATTTTATCTTTTTCCTATATCTAAGTGCAATTTGCTATTTCTATTAGTCTATTTCGTATTAATGTAGTCTCTTTTCGCTTATTCTTTTCTTGCTTTCCTACACCTATGAATTTCTAACTTAATCCAGCTGGATGATCTGCATCTTTTAAAGAAGTGACCTTTATTTTTAAATTTTCCTTATTGTGAATGTACTCACTATTGTGAATTTTTAATGAAAGGTTGCAACATTTATCTCACAAGCAGACTATAGACTTCCAACGACTGAGACAATGTGCTTTAAACTATGAGATTTATTCACCCTATTTCGTTACATATGATGAAATATTGATAGTTGAAATTTCCAACAATGATATGAATAGAGCTGATATTCTCATTGAGTTTCACATAGCCTTGATTTCCCAAAAGGTGTTTAAAATGTTTGGTTACTCTGATACCTTCTCTATAATACTTTTTTTCATTTAGATGAACGCCTTGTTCGGCGGCGGCCAGGTCAGTGATTGGCTGCCTAGTACTCAAGCTGCTTCCGGTTCCGGAGACCCGGCTGGCGTGGACCTCCTTGTGACCGGCCCGAATGATAGTGTAACCTCTACAGCGGCCGGTACCGGCACATGCAACGCCTGGCTGGCCGGATTACCGGGCCGCTTGAATCCCGGCCTCGGATTGGTGGGCTGGCTAGCTGGGGCTGGGGAAGAAGCGGTTGGCTATCCATTCGGACCCGCTGGTGGACTAGGAATCGATGGTTTTGGCTTAGTCGGCCTCGAAGCTGGCTGGGGCGGCTTTATGTTTGGTGGAGCTGGTGGCCTGTGTCCCATAGCTGGCGGGCTTCTGGGTTGTGGTGGAGATCTTGGAGGTGCAACCACTCTCACGGCTGGCGGTAGTGGAGGTGGAACAGGAGGCATTACATCGGGTTTGGGTACGACTGTAGTCGGGGTTCCGTGTGATGGTGGGGCTTTTGGCGGCTCTGGATCAATTGGAGTTGGAGCGTTAGGTGTTGCTGGTGTGGTAAGCTGCTCGGGTCAAGGAGTGTC